CCCTCTTCCTCCCCTCTCTTTCACCCTCTCCCCCACTCTATCACCCTCTCCCCCACTCTATCACCCTCTCCCCCTCTCGATTCTCCCATCCTCCTCCTTGGAAGTAACCCACAAGTTTATAAAACAAAATGCACATTGTCAGCCTTCCCTTCCGTCACTATAATATAATGTCGCTAGTGCTGTAAACTAAATCATCCGTCTATCATCCCCCATCACAACAATTTGCCACTTTCTGTCTCTCCCAACTACCTCCGTGACGTCACGAGCTCATCCCCTCTGTCCATCATCTGCGCTGCTGTTCCTGTATTGATCTATAAGCGATCGCAGCTGATAGATCGAAGCGATCAATGAGGAAGGCATTCCGTCAGTAAGGAGCTTTCCTTTTGAGGTTGGGACTTGACACAGATTGGTCGTGTGGTGTTGTGTGTGTGTGTGTGTCTATCTCTCTCTCAGAAGACACTGCAGGTAACGTAGACTTTGTTAGCAAAGTGTATGTTTACAATGTGTTTTCATAAAGTTCAAATGCTTGTTCGGTTTCGTTACTGCTTCCGTTAAACAATTATTCATCTCAATGGAACTAGATCGTAATTTTTTCAGACTTTTGCTTCCATTTCACAATTTATTATTCGCTTAAATTTGGTCCATACTTTTTGAACTTATAAAGTATATTACTTTGTTTTGTTTGTTGTTTTTGCTGTTCTGTTTTTGTAGCTTTGTGTATGTCTGGACATGCATTTAGTAAGTGAGTTGGAAACCAGAAACTAGATAGGTAGGGGAAAGGAAAGAGGTTGACCGGATCAAGTGAAGTACACACACGCAAACACACACACATACAGACACATACATGTACCACCCCCCCCCCACACACAAACATACACACACACGTACACACACACACGTACACACACGTACACACAGACACGTATACACACACACACGCGCGCACACACACACACGCACCCACACGCACCCACACACACACGTACACACATACGTACCCCACCTCCCCCCCACACGTACCCCCACACACACATACACACACACACGTGTACTCACGAAATCTCATTCATTGCTCTCCGATGACTTTTCTTTGCGATTTTTTCAAGAAAGATGAACATTTATTCCTCCAAGCCTTTCGAAGCTAAAATGAGCACTAAGCCTGCATCGACTATATATTTTAATTTCTTTTTTTCATTCCCCTCTCTCGTTCTCCCATTCCCATAGTGTGTGATTGCTGGGTGCTCTGCTGTTGTTCCATATTTCCAAACATCTATCGTCCTTTTCTATCTTCCTTCTTTTCTTTGCATGCAACTACCCAGGTGTGTTGCAAGTGCCGATGATGATAAACATATAAAACTCCTCAAATCTTCTGCACCTATATGACCTAATTGTGTTCCAGCGCCGTAAAACTCTTACTTTCTGTTCCTCCAGTGCCAGATCTGCCCATTCATTCCTTTGCTCGGATGCTCTTTAAAAAAGCGTTTCCCTGATCTTACCCCGTTACCCATTTGTTTAGGTTCACTAAGTAGGCTGCTCTGTGCCTACCCCTGCCTCATTTACCTTCAATTTTGCCAGTGAGAGCTAGATCTAGATGCTAAAGACCTTTATGTCTATTCAGGTGTCCAAAAAACTGCATTTGTCGTTTCCTGATTGTTTTTAACAGTGATTATCCCTGTTAGTAAAATAATTTTATTAAAATCCTTTCCTCAGCTTCCACGCACGAACCATGAGGCGACAGAGTCGACCAGGGAAGGCTAGCGGCATCAGCTTCCAGGATGCCAAAGACTCGAACCTAGGCCGCCGACACCTGTCTGACCTGGCGAGCACGGAGTCCGCGGGGACCAGGCCGGGCCAGATGAGCCGCCAGTTCATGGTCCGCTCCCACACCACGGCCACCAGTGGACACCGTGACGTCACCATCTACAGCCTGATCAACGAGAACTACGTGAAGAAGCCGGTGTTCAAAGTGAGCCGGCCGCTCACAGCCATTGCCATCAGCCAGGCTTATCAAAACCTTCTCGTGAGTACTCATATATACACTGCTTTTTGTCGTTGTCGTCGTCGTCGTCCCCCCCCAAAAAAAAAATACAAAAATCGGTGAAACTTACGTATTAGGGGAAATTCCAGAGAGAAATCCGCTTCAAACCCCATCTCACAACAGGAAGTGATATTTAATTAAGCTGAGCCAGGTAAGTCATAGGCGTAGGTAAACTTACACAGTGGTCACTAATGAAAAGTAGCATGGACAGTAATTATTCTGAGGACTGTGGAGAAAGTTGGATCTGATCTAGTTGAGGAAATGAAACACCTTCACACCCAGACGACCTGACATCCGGGGCTCAGGGAGAATTCTAAAAAAAATTGCCCTTTTATTTGTCCCAGAAGTGCACTTTGGTGTACAGCGGCAAACATACATATACATACATAAATACATAATTATAAATACGTACATACATAAATACATAATTATAAATACGTACATACATAAATACATAATTATAAATACGTACATACATAAATACAT